GTCTCTAACATTTCCTTAGTCCTCCTATCAGAAAGGACTGAAGAGCCTTCCACAATCTGCACACCTCAGTCTCATGCCTGGAGGATGGGCGCATGCTGCCATCCCAGTGGTCTTCTCACCCAGGTAGCCCACTCCAGTGCACACAGAACCAGCAATTCTCCTTTCTCAAACCTCTGAGTACATGTGCAGCCAGCCTGTGGGGTGCCTCCTCCTGACACACCCACACTAGCAGTAATACTATCCCACCTTTAGACTTCTTAAAAGAATTTCCTAAACTATTTAAATCTCCTAAAACCAGACACTAAACATTAAGATAATTTTATAATTCAAATGGAATTTAATAGCTTCAAAGTTGTTTCTATGTGCAAAATCCTTTGAACTTGTTCTTAATTCTTAATGGTTAGAGTAACTACCAATAACGTTAAAATTGCTTTACACAAAGCTAATCCATGTTCACTAGTTAGACCTCTGGGTGCTGTTATCATTGGTTCAGATCCTGAGTACCAGAGACCTGACAATGTCCCATTCACCCGACCAGCGGTCTAGCTGCACTGGGCAATGCAGCTCAAAAGAGTGAAATATGTGGTCATGGCCATGATACTCTGGAGCTCTCTCTAGAAGGAAAGAAATGTTTTGACCATGACCCCTAAAAGGGAGAGGACAGGGAGGCAGGAGGGAAGTGGGGGTGAATGGAACAAAGTCTGGAGCTGAGTCCCAAGCCTCCTGCCATGAAAGAGGAGGGGACATGTGAACTTGGAGTGAACATCTGGGTGGTGGCCAAGGCTGAAGACATAATACAGCAACTTGAGGAAATATCAAAGCTTCCTTTATGTCTCTGACCCCTCTGAGTCCTTCCTCTTGGACTCGTGATCCTGGAAGCAGTATGGATCTTTGGTAGGAGGGATGAGTACTGATAACACCGCAAAGGTCCATATTTGGTGAGCCTGGGGAAACGGGCACAACCTGGTTCCTTCCTGGAAGGAACGAACATCAGTGCAACACTTATGAAAGGGAATTTGGCAATATCTAACCAAAGCATGTGTGCATGTACCTTTTGACCTAGTAATTCTACTTCCAAAATATCCCCCTTGACAGCATGAAAGTGTACTCGCATGCTCATTACAGCACTGCCTGAAATTGCAAAACATTGGAAATAACCTCTATGATCATGTAAGGGCCACCCAACAGAGTCCCTGGTGCTGTTTTAAAAGACAAGAGTGAAGTCTATGAACTGACAGAGTAATTTCCAGAATGAATTTGTAAATGGAGCAGCAGTGCTTAGAAGAGTATCTGTAATACTCTTCACTTTTTGTAAAACTAAAGAGGAGGTGACGGATACACACTGTAAACTGGAGACTAAGGAAACTGGCTCATCTCGGGGTGGGTGGGGGTGGCAGAGAAATAGGGGAAACCAATGTTTTCTGAAAATGCCTTTGTGCAGCTCTGATTCTTGGAACCATGTTAATATTTTGTGGGGAGCTTTCATTTACTCAAATCACACAATTAATTTGAAATTGGCAAAGAATCACCTCTACTGATTTATAAAGAAAAGTATAAAATATAATACAGACAGCACAGGAGCACTGTGGCAGAGCTTATTTTCCAAAAATGGCCAACGATATCTTCCATCTAACATGCTCTTCCTTGGAAGGGCAGAGCCCAGGCCCCTCTCCTTGAACTGGAGGTGGGAGCTTCCATGACTGTTCTAAGAGACAGTACAATCCAAGTGGCACCTGATTTCCAAGACCAGGTCAAAAAAGGCAACACAGCTTCTGTTTCTGTCTTTTTCTAGGAATGCTTGCCTGGCAATCCATCACTGCGTTGAAGCAAGTCCAGGCCACGAGGAAGAACTGCGCCCCCTCCCCCAATTTTCAGCCCTGGCTGAACTCCAGTCAAGAAGGAGCATCTATCCACTCGCCCTCCACAAAAGAGCACTTCTTTGAAATGGATCCTCCGGTTGTCAGAGTAGCCAGCCAGAAGCCTTCACCTGTTAGCTTTGATGAAATTACAAATTTTTGCAGAAAATAAATAATTATAGTTTGAAGTCAATACTTTGGGGTTTGTTTCACGGTGAAGGATGACTTAACACCTTTACCTTATTCAAGAGCATTTATACCATCAGACCATTTAAGTGCCAGGATGGCCCCTGCCGGCAGGCCAAGCACACATGGGGCACCCCACATTAAAGCTCATGAACTTTCTTCAAACGTCCATCAAAGACAGTGACCGCCCACTAATGCAATTCCAGCTCTCTGGCTTCCCAGAACATAGGTACCTTGTTCATTAAATGAACAAGGGTGGGGGATACCACTCCTGAAACGGGACCAGAGGTCTCTAGAAAAAGCTAACTAGGAGAGACTCATGGCAACACTAGCGAACCAACTACAAGATGTAAAATACTGCAGAGTTGTACCTGGAAAGGCTTGGACTGAGGGACAAGGGTCTCTTGGTTCTGGTGCTCCCCACATGACAATAATCTGTTTGTTGACTTAATCTTGAAATTATCAAGGAAAGATGAAACCACCTATCAGCTCTGCCTAAGGGGACAGGAAGCAAAATGTGGTTTGAAGATTTCCCTCTGACAAAGAAGAGGGGGAAATGTTTGCATATGTAAAAAGCTAGGTGCCAAGTAGCTATAGAGGGGAGACCCCCCCACCCTCAGCAATAAAGCTGGGCAGGGGATGGACAACAGCCACATCATTCACCTGCAGCATGCACCCAGGAAGCAATGCTTTACAATGGCTTGCTTTGCTTTAAAAAAAGAGAGAGAGAGAGAGAGAGAACATGTGCATGCCTGGGTGCATGTGTAGAGGTCAGAGGACAACTTTTAAGGCGTCGGCTCTCACCTTCCACCTTGGTGAGGCAGGGTCCATCTTTTTTCTACTACTGTGCAGCATACCCCAAGATAGGTGGCTGGCAAGTTTTTGACTTCCTCTCCTGTCTCTGCCTCCCATCTCACCATAGGAATGCTGCAATTACAGATGCATGACACTGCACCCAGCTTTTTACCTGGGTTCTGGGCATGGGATCAGATCCTGCTTAGCCAGCACTTTTACCCACTGAGCCATCTCCCAGCTGGTTTGTTGTTGTTGTTTTGTTTGTTTCTGAGACAGGGTCTCACTGTGTAGCACAGAATGGCAATCCTCCTGCCTCAGCTTCTCGAGTGTTAGGATTCTAAGTGTGTACCACCATGCCCAGCTTTTGTTTTTTATGTGAGGAAACCATTCAGAATGCAAACATTTTATTAATCTTTTCATATAATACATGGTTCTCCCTCTGATCTCGGGTCTGATGAGAGTCAGACAGCTGATGTTCTAGGGACAAAGGGAATATGGGGAGCCAGGCATGGTGGTGCACGCCTTTAATTCCAGCACTTGGGAGGCAGATGCAAGCACATCTCTGTGAGTTCAAGGCCAGCCTGGTCTACAAAGAGTTCCAGGCCAGCTGTGGCTACAGGGAGATCCTGTCTCAAAAAGACAAAAAAAAAGGGGGGAGGGGATATGGGGAGGAATGAGTTGTCACAGGCAAAAAGACACTTCTAGAAGAGTTGACATCACTTGTTCTAGCCTAGAGGGAGGTCTGCTTCCACTAGAGTTGGCAATTCATGGGGAGTATACAGATAGTGAGCTGGAGGCCAGAAAGGGCACACGTTCTTTGCACTGACAAGTTCTCCTAGTCAGTGAATGTATCAGTGGTCACTTCTACACAAAGAAGATCAACAGAGCAAGCAAACCAAGGGACAGCCAAAGGCACAAGAGGAGACACCACATGTTCTTCACTAAAAAAAAGTGGTAAAGCCTGAATGACAGGAAGAGGCTGGGTGTTCTACAGATGAGGGCTGTGTCTCAAAACAGTGGGGTACAGAGGTGGGAGGCCTTGGGTCCAGGCAGACTTCAGAATGCCCCAACAACATGACACGACAGTCACAGCAAGACAAGGACATCAGGGTGGGAGGTCAGATTCTTCACACTGTTTCTCAGCAACTGTGTGCCCAGGCCACCTGACTTCTCGGAGTTCAATTTCCCCATCTACATAATAGAGAGAACCCCATCTTTTTCGTGGGACTGCCCATGGTATCAGAGTAATTCTACTAATGTGCCCAAATAGAGTCGTCTGGCGTTTGGCAGTGTTTCATTGATCTTGTTCTAGATGATCATTAAGTCAATGTCCAGCTTTAACATTCTGAGGTTATACTCATGATCAATCTTCAAAAGCACAGTACCATGACCACTGAGAAATCAGAACTCTAAACCAGTGACTCTGGGCCTTCCTACTGGCAGTCTAGTTGCTCAGGGGCAAACACCAGGCATCACTTTGGTCTCCTTTTCTCATACCCTGTTATCTGTCCATCAGCAAAACCAGCTAGTTCCTCCTCCGACCACCCACTGCTGTCACCCACATCTCAGCCCACCTTCTGCTGCTCCTACCCACTCCTTCCCTCCTATAGCCATTTTCCACTGAGAACCACTTAAAGTTTTAGAGTTAAATCAGAGCAGTGCCACTCCCTGCTCAAATCTTCCCAGAACCTCCCAGGTCCCAGAACAGATCTGAAGGGGCCCTACGGGCTCCCCAGGTGTGCTACCTCCCTTTCTCCCTCTTGTCCTTGCTTGCTGCCTAGCCACACTGGCCTCACTGCTATCCCGTGAGTATCCCAACAGCATTCTTGCTGTGGGACTTTTGCACTGGGGGCCCCCTCTGGAATTTTCATGCACATATCACTGTGGTTCACTGTCTCGTGTCCCTGGAGTCTCTGTCCAAAGGGTACCTCCTCAAAGAGACACTTGATACCACAGATAGCAATGGGGCCCTTTTCCATAGCCTTTACCCAGCTTCTCATAGCTGCCGGTGCTCACCTCGTGCTGTCTCCCTGAGCATGAGCTCTGGTAGAACACAAGGGCCTAGCTCATCACTGATTCCAGATCCCAGAACAGGTCTGGCACGAATCCCTCTGCGGGAGGATGAGTTTAAGATGAGCAGAAGGCTCCTGGCCAGCGCTTTACCTTCTTCCCAGCAGTGGGGCTGCTCTCTGCACTCTGCACAGGGCTCCTGTGGGGGCTTCGGCTGTCCTGGGGCACACACCTGCCCATGTACACACTATAGTCCAGAAGCATCTTCTGCCGCACGCTGCCCACTAGCTCTTTCTGTTTGGGCTGAGACATGATCTCCTCCATGCTGCCTTTGCTGCTGCTGCGGCTGTGAGTCAGATGCCCAGAGGGACTGCTGTGTCTGCTGTGGGTGGGCAAAAACCCTGAGGCAAAAAGTGATAGCTATTAGTATAAGTGAAGAAAATCACTAAGTAAAAGCCAAGCTTGCGTCGTGGAAAAGCAGCTAAAAGGCTATGGAATGATTCTTTTTTTAAACTCACAAGCATCCCTGAAAAGTACCTTTTGCTCTAATGACAAATTTTAGAACAGTTTTTATTCTTTTCCAAGATGATTTTGGATTGGAAAAAGTGTGGTACATCTGAAGAGCAGCTTTTTCTTTGCTCCTGGTAATCTTGGAAAAGGTGAACTACAACACCCATGTACCCTCCAGTCAGAGTGGCCCTAGGAATTCTAATAGGACAAAGGGAGAGTGGGCAGGAAGCTCATTAATTGTTCACCCACCACTCAGGGCATTCCAAAGACACCATCTTTCATCCAACAGATCATTCGTCATGCTTTTTCTCTGAGCCTATTCCATGCTAAGAGACCAAGGAGACCAAGGCAGAACTTCTGCCCTTGAAGTCCAACATGTGGGAAGATAAGCCACGGTCTCCTGTAACAAGTGTTACCAACCAGCTGGAGTTACAGACAGTGGTTAGTTGTCATCTGGGTGCTGGGGAACTGAATCTGGGTTGTCTTTTGAGGGAATAGTTGCCCTTTTCCTGGTCCAGGTAGAAGAACATTCCAGACAGAACAGCACATCAAGAAGCAAGGACAGGGCACAGTCTATTCAGAGTAAGAGTCTGTGACGTCCCATGCAGAAGACACAAGTCACAGTGACAGGAAGTGTGGGTAGAGGGAGAGGCTGGGGACGGTCAGATGCCTGAAAAATGACTCTGGGGTCAAAGTTTATTCTGTCCCAATCGAGGACTTTAAGCACAGACATGCCCATACCAACATGCTCACTCAGATTTACTCTGAGAGCAAGATGAAGAGCAGTGTGGTGAGAGTCAAATCATATCACCTGCTGTTTGGAGCTTCCAGTCATCTGAACCATAGCTCCCTCTGGTCCCTCAAATACTTAGGCAAGCCATTAGTTAACTTGGATTTTTAGCTAGGTAATTTCCATTGCTGACAACCTGAGATTTTACCTAGAATTCAAACTTTTTATAATCCTTTATGATTTTCATACCACTTTTTAACATTTTATTTGTTACTTTTATTTTATGTGTGTGAATGTATTGTCAGCATGTGCACCCGTGTTGTGCAATACCTGTGGAGGTCAGAAGAAGGTGTTGGATCCCTTGGAACTGGAGTTACAGACAGTGGTTAGCTGCCATGTGGGTGCTGGGAACTGAATCTGGGTCCTCTGCAAGAGCAGCCAGTGCTCTTAACTACTGAGCCATCTCTCCAGCCCCGATTCTCATACCACTTTAAGGTTTAACATGATTTTTAAATGTTTGGATAAAGCTATGCCAAAAAATATTTAAAACAGATGACAAATAAATACAATGTGGTATCTTAGATTAGAACTCGGAAGAAAAGGCAGGCTTTAGTGGAAAATACAGTGCAATTCAAATAAACTCTATAGAGTTTAGTTAATAATTAAAAAAGAACAAAACAAGCCGGGCATGGTGGCGCACACCTTTAATCCCAGCACTTGGGAGGCAGAGGCAGGTGGATCTCTGTGAGTTCAAGGCCAGCCTGGTCTACACAGTGTGTTCAGGTCAGCTGGGACTACAGGGAGACCCTGTCTCAAAAGGACAAAAAAAGTGAGGCACAGATGGCAAACCATACACAGAAGTCTATATTAACTATATTTAACAGGTAAAGATAAACAAATGGAACTAATTTGACTCTATTTGACCCAATACATCTAAGATATTACTATTCTGAACACATAACTAATATAAGAAATTGTAACGAAATAGTTCACATTCTTTTTTATTTTTGGCATTTTTGAGACAGGGTCCTGACTAGCCTGGGACTCACTGTGTAGCCCAGGCTGGCCTCAAACTCACAGCAATCCTATTGCCTCAGCTTCCCAAGCATTGGTATAGCAGGTGTGTACCACCATGCCTGGCTTCCTTTTTTAGACTAAGATTTTGAACTCAGTATAGGTCTTACACTTTAGAGGACATCTCATAGAGACTGGTCACATTTCTAGTGCTCAGAAGTCACTTGCACTGGTGGTTACTACACTGGATGCACTGGACAGCATGGAGTCAGATGCACCGGGAGGGCCGAGCCATGGCTGGTGCTGAGGAGTTCTTATTCACTTGGTTCTCTTCTTGTCCACTTGGATCTTTTTACTCAGTACTGTGGGTTGAACTGTGTTCCCCAAAAGATATGTTGCTGGCCTAGCCATGGTGCCTCAGAATGTAACCTTACTTGGAAATAAGGCCATTGTAGATATAATTCATTAAATGAGGTCATAGAAGTAGCTCTCAATCCAATATGGCTGGTGTCGTTTTAAGAAGAGAAGCACACGAACAATGCCATGTGATGACAGGAAGGGTTTGGAGGGATGTGGCTGCAAGCCAGGCACTGACAGTCATCAACAAAAGCTAGCAACAGGTAAAGGACTCTGCAGCAAGAGCAAAGTCCTCTAATACCTTGTCTTTGGATTTCTAGCCTCTAGGACTGTGAGAGAATAGCTTTCACTAGTTTTAAACCACTTGGTTTCCATATTTTGCCCAAGCCCTATGGAATGAAAACTTCCAGCAATCTCTCTGTTCATGTTGGTCTTCATGCCTAAGGTGCTCCCAGGAGACTTTAGGGAGCTCAGCACCTCTGGGTCAGGACAGAAGCTGGTATTGAAGCTGACAGAACAGAGTCGAGCACATATGCTAGCTGAGGGCCCGGATCACTACCAGGAGAGGAAGAAAGGCAACCCAAAGCCATGCCTGAGACCCATATTGAGCCATGATCAACACGGATCCTTCCCAGAGAAAGCCCTAGAGTGGCTCCGCACTGTCCCACTCCATCGGAGAAAGCTCTCATTTAATGCCTACCCTGATCTTGTCCTCAGATGTTCCACAATTACTGCTTGTACTGTGCTTATGTTAGCACAGTAATTTTCAAACATACGACTCATATGAACCAGTTCTGTCTAACAAGCAGAGCACCTGACAGGCAGGGTGCTGCTGTTTGCTGGTTTGGAGCCCCTTGCAGCAGCAGGCCCAGCCATGGGTGGCAGAGGTGTCATGTGGTCATCTATCCCAATGAGCAGGAAGGAGTTTGCACTTGTGTAGCAATGAGGTTTGAAGGACAGGTTGGGGTGAAGAGTCAGGGAACACTAGCCAGAAGTATACCCAAACTCACCTGCTTTTTTTTTCGTGTGTGTTGGGGATGAAATCCAGGGTTTTAGACATGCTAAGTGCATGTTTTACCACAGAGTTGCAGTCCCCACCCTCCTTTAAGACAAGGTCTCGCTATACAGACTAGGCTGGCTTGAACTCACAGAGATCAGCCTGCCTCTGCTTCTCCAGTCCTGGGATTAGGGATTAAAGGTATGCCACCACACTCAGCTCTTACTGTTTCTTATGACAAAGTTCTCCTGTAGCTGCTTCTTTGAGAACATCACAGTATACACCAAGAAAATAGAAACCTGGGGTGCCACTGCAGGCTCACCACATGTATCTACAAATGGACCATCACTAGCAAATGACTTGGTACGAAGGGCTGCAGTGGTCAATTAAAGGGCACCCAAGTCATGACAACACATTTGAGGTGGCAAAGAGCAATCAACATAGGCTGGACTTCCTGCCTGTCTGCCTGGCAATCTCTCTTAATCTCTTACAAGCCCTTTAAATATGTATGCACACTTAGCACAGACACCATTACCTGATTTACTTCCAGAGACACCAGGTGGCTTCTTGAGGTCATACTTCAGCTTAGATGCCAGAATAAATCTCCTAAACCACTCCTCTTTTTCTCGGCCAGTTCTCCCAAACAGATAGAGTATTTGATCTCGATGGATAGATTTTGCTCCTTCTTGAGGTTGGGGTGGCTTCTTAGTGTCCTCGCTGCCCAGCTCTTTCTCAGCTGGTGGCTTCTCTTCACAAGTCTCCTTATCATTCTGAGCCTTAGACATAAAGTCATCTTGCCGACCAAGCTCAATACAAATGGGGTATTTTTTATTCCAGATTCGTTTGCGAGCCAAACTTTTAGGTACAAGATAAATCTACAGAGAAAGGCAAATAATGAGGTACATACTACAGAGTGTCTGCATTGTGCATTAACACTATACACACTATAAAGGCAAGCTGAAGAGAATTGTGGGGTGATGGGAGGTTTGAGACAGGGTTTCCCTGTAGCCCCAGCTAGCCCAGAACTCCCTATGAAGATAAAGCTGGCCTTGACTTCACTTAGCTCCACCTGCCTCTGCCTCCCAAGTGCTGGGATTAAAGGTGTGTGCCCCACCCCCAGCTTGAGCACTGGCTACTCTTGCAGAGGACTCAGTCAGACTCCCAGCACCCACATGGCAGCCAACAATTGTCCCTAACTCCAGTTCCAGGGGAATCCAATGCCCTCTTCTGACCATTGCATGCCATGGGTGCACTTACATACATTTGAAAAAAAAAAACCAAACAAGCAAACAAAAAAGCAACAGTACTTTTTTGAGGGGTGGGGCATGTTGAGACAGAGTCTCACTATGTAGCCCAAGCCAGCCTCAAACTAGCTCTGTAGACCAGGCTGGCCTCAAAATCAAAGCAATTCTCCTGCCTTGGTCTCTCAAGAGCTGGAATTACAGGTGCATGCCATAATGTCTGGTTTATGCACTGCTGGGAAAGGAACCCTAGGTTTCTAAAGGCATAAGCGCTTTACCAACCAAGCTATATCCTCAGCCCCATAATTAGTTTTTAAAGTCAAAATTCTTAGTGCTGGATGCTCTTGCTCCTGAAGGTGTGGTCCTGCAGGGTGAGCTGTACCTAGAAGCCTATAAAAATTCAGGCTCTCTGGCCCCACTCAAAGTTGCTGCATCAGACTATGCATTTCAAAAGATGTCCAGGTGATTCAGAGTTAATGTTTGGGAGGTGTTGTCCTAAACTATACTGCCCCTTAAACAACATGATGTGGGGGAAATGCAGTAAAGCAAGTAAGATTCCAAATACCTTTCATTCATTCAAGCTCTGCTTCCAAAATTACCCAGGCTCACCTTGCTGTCTGAGAGGTCGTAGATTTTCTGGCTGATGTAGGTGACCTCGGGTTTTGTTTCATTGTAGCTCACCCTCCTGGAGATGTTTTTATTGGGCTTTGAAAGTCTTAAGGTTCCACCCTCAAGCCGGACAAAGACTGAATGTGTTAACGTTGCATGGTAAGTTTCTGGATCATAGTTGTAAATCTCATTCATCCATCCCTGGTGGAGAAAAGCTTTCATTAGTAAAAGAAGAATGAACACAAGTCTGATTCAGTGGGAAAATGTTGCCTACGCTGGATTTCAGGCCACTGCACTAAAACCCATTTGGTGCAGTATTAACCACTGATGCCTAGAGACCACCCGGAAGCTCTAACTGGAAGCAGGACTGGGGCTGAGGAATCATTTGGTACGGTGTTGATAACCAAAAAATTGAAAAGGTGGGATGGCACTATTATCCTAAATATTAGACCCTTTTCTTTCTTTTTCTTTTTTTCGTCTTTTTGAGATGGATCTCTCTGTAGCCCCAGCTGGCCTTGAATTCAGAGATCCACCTGCCTCTGCCTCTTGAGTGCTGGGATTAACGGCATGTACCACCATGCCCACCTAGACCCTTTTCTTAAGAAACTCAGAAAAGTTTTATTCATGTAACTAGGCAAGTCTCTCTGCCTAATCTCCCTTGGGGACGAGTAATCTGGTTTAGTCTGGCTTTTTTCTGTTTGTGACAAGGTTTTCCTTTGTAGCCCAGGCTGGTCAGAAACTTGTGATTCTCCTGCCTCTACTGTCTGGGTGCTGTGATTACAGGTATGTACCACCATCCCTGGCTCTCAGTCACTTTTATAAAAAATTACATTTGGGGTTGGAGAGATGGCTCAGTGGTTAAGAGCACTGGTTGTTCTTGCAGAAGACCTGGGTTCGAATCCCAGCACCCACATGGAGGCTAATAACTGTCCATAACTCCAGTCCCAGGGGATCCGACAGCCTCTTCTGACCTCCATGGGCATTGCACAACACAGGTGCACTTACCTACGTGCAGACAATATACGAATACACATAAAATAAAAAGAATAAATAAAAATTTTTAAAAAAGAACACTGGTTGTGAACTATATTAGCAACTTAACCTAAGTTACTCCATCTTGCTCAGAATAGCTATTTTAACAGTAACCTCTTTTCACTTATGGGAAATATTTAAAAAGAGACAACAGCCTTGAGTTCTAAGAAATAGCTCAATCACAAACCAGTGGAACGTGCTAATCTCAGACATTCTACATTTGGCTAACTGCTTGTTTTTGCTTCTGTAACTCGCTTGCTATTTTAGGTCACCTTGACACAACGTATAAGACGGCCCTGTTATTGTCTGACCACTGGTAACTGCTGATTTCAGCTTTCTTACTATACTTGTTATGGCTAGGAAGTTGGCTAATTTTAAAATTACAAAGCTGATTGCCAAGTTATATGACTGTATCACTTGTCTGTATAATGATTGGTTGTTGATTAATAGATTCAAAGTTCTGCTATGTTGTACAAACTTGATTGGGTCACAAGTGTCCTGTTTGAATAATATTTCTGTAATCCTATAAAAACTCTGACCCGACAATCATCAGGGCTTCTTCTTCTACTCCCAAGATAGACAGCCCAGCCGGTCGAAAAATAACATTTACCTTGCTACTTTTCTTAAAGTGGTGCTGGTGATTTTTTTTTGCAAACTCTGACCTATAACAGTTGTTCTTGCAGAAGACCCAAGTTCGAATCCCAGCACCCACATGGCAGCTAACAACTGTCCTAACTCCAGTTCCAGGGGATCCAACAGCTTCTTCTGTCCTTCTCAGGCATTGCATAAGTGCTGTGGAAGTTCAAAGGCATCATTTTCTCTGTCTTACAGTCCGAATTTTGGGGTGGCTTACAGAAAACAGTGTTAGATGGAAACGAGGCCTCACTCGTCATTCTCAGCCTCCTGATCTTGTTGTTCTCTTCTCTTTACGTCTGATCAGAGGCAGAGTCACATGAGCAAAAGTAATTAGTGTAATAAACAAGAGTGTTGTGTCTAAGCATTTGAACTGACGATACTTTAATATTTTATTTATTTATTTTTATTTTATGTGTATGAGTAGTTATACCTAAATGTGTGTAAGTGCACCTGTGTCATGCAGTGCCTGTGGAGGACAGAAGAGGCTGTTGGATCCCCGGGAACTGGAGTTACAGACAATTGTTAGCCACCACATAGGTGCTGGGATTCAAACCTGGGTCTTCTGCAAGAACAGTCATTGCTCTTAACTGCTGAGCTATCTCTCCAGCCCTAATCTATCTTTTTTTTTTTTTTTTTCTTTTGGACTTTTGATCCACCTGCTTCTGCCTCCCAAGTGCTGGGATTAAAGGCGTGTACCACCACGCCTGGCTAATCTATCATTTTTAATTAGCCAAATTCATCCTTTTCTCAGTCCACCTGCAAACAATCTTTGCTATTTCACAGACCATATTAATTCAGGTTACCATTCCCAGACTCAGAGAAAGATTACCATTCTATTTCAATTAATGACACTGTAATGTGCATCTCACCAAAGGGGCATCAAATAAACAGATATAATCAACATGTCATATGGTAATTTAAATGAGTAAAATTATCTTCCAAGTCCTACCCCTTCCTCAAATTGACACAAATATATTCATGTATGGAATTTTTTTTTGAGATAGGGTCTTACTATGTTGCCCAGGTTAGTCTTAAACTTGAGTCTCTGACCTCCTGTCTAGTTGGGGTTACAGGTCTGTGCCACTAGGCCCAGTCTTACACATCGATTTTCAAAACAATTTTTACACATGTTGAAGTGTACCAAAAACCCACAAAAGTTATAAACTATGAGAAAACATAATGGAACAACAACAATGCTGTAATCTGTACTTATCAACTTAACACTGTGCCTGCCACAAAGTACTTTCTCAGATTTTATAGGTGAACAAGATCTCTTAAAAAATTCCCCAAGGAGTTTTAAATCTTCCTGCTTCTTTTATAAATGTCTTCATAATGGCAAGTTGAGTGCCTGGAGCCAGCCCCTAAAGCTGAAATGTCACCTACCTGGTGAGTATTTGAGTCTCACCCAAATGAGAGTGAAGGATCCTTAGAACGCTCCTTCATGTGTTTGTCCAGTGCATCTACACGCTGAGTGACATGCCAGCAGTTGATACAAAGATTTTAAAAGATGGGGATGCAGAAATGGCTCAGTGGTTAGGAGCACTGGCTTCTCTTGCAGAGGACCTGCGCCCACATGGTGGCTGATAACCACCTGTAACTCCATTTCTACGGGAGTTCGAACCTCTCTTCTGACCTCTGTGGGCACTGCATGAAACTGGTGTGCTAACACGCATGCAGGCAATATACTCATACACATAAAATAAAAATAATAAAATATGGTACATGCCTTTAATCCCAGCTCTTGGGAGGCAGAGGCAGGTGGATCTCTGTAAGATCGAGACCAGCCTGGTCTACATAGCAAGTTCAGGGCAGCTGGGGCTACAGGGAGCCCCTGCCTCAAAAAATGCAAAAATAAATAAATTAAAATAAAAAAAAATACTTTTTAAAAAGAGGACAGGGGCTGGGATGTAGCTCAGTGGTGGAGTGCCTGCCCAGCAAGTGCAAAACCCCAAGTTCTATGCTCAGCACCAGGAAAAAAAGTTGTGAATTTAAAAAAAAAGAAAAGAAAAAAGGCTAGGCAAGGCTAGGCTAGGCTAGGATTTTTAACCCAAACTTCAAGACATGCCAAAGTGTGCAAATTTAGGTCTCTATTCCAAGATCCTACAATCCCAATAGAATAACTATAAGAGAGAAATTTTATTTAACTCAGGAGACTTGCTTTGTGTGAGCTGGGAGGATTTCTTTCTCCTCTCTCAGAGGTGCTGGCCAGGAGCAGCACTGACTCCCAAGTACTGGATGAGCAAGCAGCAGTCATGGAAAGAGGGGCTAGTCTAGGCATCTGGAAAGGAACCAGCAGTGATCAGAGCAATGAACAAACACAGACTGAAGCTCATCTGTCAGCATCAGCACAGGTTTGGGTGGAGATCATTGTGCAACACGCAGATCGTCCTTAAAGTACATTCTTTGGGTCATAGTTTGTGTGTGTGTGTGTGTGTGTGTGTGTGTGTGTGTGTGTGTGTGTGTGTGTGCGCGCGCGCGCGCCAGAGTCTAATATTGGGATGTCTTCCTCAATCACTTCTCTACCTTAGCTTTAGAGACAGGCTCTCTCACTAAACCTGAAGATCGTTGCTTCAGTTAGCTTGGCTGGCCTGAGAAGTCCCCAGGATCTGCCTGTCTCTGCCACCGGCACTGGGGTTACAGACACACACCACAATGCCTGGCTTTTTTTTTTTTTTTTTTTTTTTAACATGAATGCAAAGGACATGGATCCCCTCGTGCTAGTGCTAAAAGTGCTCTTACCCACTAAGCCATATTTGACAGGCTGGTGTCAAATATGAGGGGTCCTCCTGTCTCTGACTCCAGATCACCAAAATCACTGGCATGCTTCACCATGCCCAGATGTCCTTTTCTCCAGTTTGTTACAATGCTGAACCATATTCACTGACTTAAATGTTGACTCAGTCTTGCATTGCTAGGATTAATGATGACACTGGTCATTATGTGCTGAAATTGGATTATCCCAGTTGGTGAGGATTTTTATTTGAGCGAAACCAGGGAACAGTACAAATTATGGATCTGTATCCTTGCCCCACCAGCCAGTTTACCAGCACAATATTATAGGTAAGGATGTGTGTGTGTGTGTGTGTGTGTGTGTGTGTGTGTGTGTGTGTTACTGGGAAAGGGACCCAGAGCCTTGCGCATGCTAGACAAGAGCTCTACCACTAAAGGTATACCCTGAATCTCTTATCTTTTTATATATTGTTGAATTTGATTTGCTAATGTTTTTCTAAATTTATGAGGGCAAATCATCTATAGTTTCCATGCAGTATCTCTTGGTATTAGTAAACCTCATAAGTTAGGAAGTATTCCCTTGTTTCTATTTTCTGGAAGAGTTTGTGTAGATTTCATATTATTTCTTCTATTTGGTAGAATTTGTAAATGAGCCTACCTAGAGTGTTCTTTGTAGAAAAGTTTTAAATTATAAATTCATTTTCTTTCATCCTGATAGAGTAGTCAGGTTATATATTTGTGGGTTTTTTTGTGTATTTTTTTTTTTTTTAAATAAAGTCTCACTATATAGCTTAGACTGGTCC